CCAACAACTCCAGGAGATCGCGATTCTGCACTGGCGTTCCATCAGATTTCAGCCAATTCTTCTTTTGCCACGTTCCGATCCATTCCGTCATGGATCGGATCAGAAGCATACTGTCTGAGAAGATGAATAACATGCGCGATCCCTCCGGGTCCTCTAAATTGGCACGCTTCATGGCTTCCAGTGCCGCCATATACTCCGCCCTGTTGTTCGTGGCTCGATCCTCCACTAACGTCTTGGCTACATTCCATTCCTCACAGTGTGGGAATATACAGGCGTATCCTGCACGACATTTCCGACGTCCGTTCTCTAGTGCACTACCATCACAGAAAGCCACTAAAGTAGTCGGATCTTTTGGGTCAGGATTTCCTTCCTGGCTCTTTGTAGCGGTTGCATGTTGGTTCACGAAAGCCTCGGCCTCCTCTTTTGTCGGGAATTTCTTGAAACTGGCCCTGAAGAAGTTTTCCACTTGTATTTTGGCTTCTTTCCACGTCCGAAAGACCCCCGTCTTCCTCCCTTTGGCCACAGCGTACCACCAACCTCCACTGGGCTTGGAATTGTCGGTTAATTGAGTGCCATTAGCAGTTGTGGCGGTAGATTTCGGAGTCTCATTGGGTTTAAGTTTCTGAGCGGGAGGTGGTCTCAATTCATCGTCAGCCACGGTACTCTCTTCTCTAGGTCTTTTAGCTTTAGGGGTTGACTGTGCGCCGTTGTAGGCGTCGATGAACGCCTGCGCCTCGCTCTGGGTCTTGAACTTCTTGTATCTGCAGCCAGTGAAGTCTTTCACCTGAGCTTCGCACTCCCCCCACGTCGTGAAGATGCCAGTCGAGCGACCCGCGGCCACTGCGTAATAGCGACCCGCGGCCACTGCGTAATAGCCACCCTTTGCCATTGGCTGATGAAAAAGGTTTTGTGATTGAGGATGATGTAGCCATGATCCAAATTTATTTAGGATTTGTAATTTGATCTGAAGCATGTTGAAGTTTGAATACAAAGTGGTGTCTAAAACTTCGAAGGCAAGATTCTGGATGGCATTCAGACGAAAAAAAACCATCAAATTTTTAATGGAATCTATCGTTAAAGCCTGTCTTTTGGCTCGTAATAAAATAGGCTTGGATGGCATTCAGATCTCTGAAAATATTTTTTTCCATTCCCATTTAAGTTGTATCGGGCGCATGGGCCTGTCTTTTAGATACCCCATCATTTGTTTTTGTTTTTACTGGTAGAGCTTCAGTAAACGAACAACCCAACTGGGATTATTCATGTCCATGTGTTGTGTGTTTACACATAGTTTCATGCAATACAAATATCAAGTGAATCCATTTATTTTTGACACATATGCATGGATTCTTATGAGGTTTCGAGCTGCGGAGGGAAAATTCATAAATGAATGCATAGACTTCGAAAAATAAATGATACATTAACTGATCCGGATACGATCCCGCATTCATTCTCTTATACTACAGCGCTACATTGATTTACGTAATTGGCAGTGAAACGGCTACTAACGCGAAGCTACAGCTGTAGGCAGGTTTCCCAGGCATATTCTGCAGAAAATAAAAGTCTATGCTAAATAATTAGCACCCTATCTTTTTCCAACTACCCGTTTAATAACAGTGATCAGCATTTACCGCCAAAAGTTTGGAT